GCCGGCCCGCGCGGCGCCCATGCTCGGAGAGGGCCTCACGGTGTGCGGAGCGCCGGGCGGGTCCCGCGACGCTGAGCGTGGCCTGTCCCGCAGGTCTGGATGCTCGTGGTCGGCTTCCTGTTGGCACTGGCGCCGGGCCGCGCGGCGGGAGCGCTGAGGACCGGGAGACGCCCGGCGCGGCCGCGGGACTGCGCGGACCGGCCGGAGGAGCTCCTGGAGCAGCTGTACGGGCGGCTGGCGGCCGGCGTGCTCAGCGCCTTCCACCACACGCTGCAGCTCGGGCCGCGCGAGCAGGCGCGCAATGCCAGCTGCCCGGCCGGGGGCAGGTCCGCCGACCGCCGCTTCCGGCCGCCCACCAACCTGCGCAGCGTGTCGCCCTGGGCGTACAGGTGAGCGGGCCCGACGGGCGGGGCGGGGCCTACAGAACAGGTGGGTGGGGTAGGGTGGAGTCCGTGGGAGGGGCGGGGCCGAGGGGCGGGGCGGACCAAGTGGGATGGGGCGGGTCGGGTGGGGCCTGGGCGGGGTCGGGTGAGGCCTGGGCGGGGCAGGGGCTGCCACAGGGGCGGTATAGGTGGGCGGTACTTGAAGGAAGGGGTCCTGAGGGGGATCGGGATGGAGTGGGGTCGGTTGGAGCGGGAGGGGGTTGGCAGGACGGTCGGGTGGTGCTACTGAGGGGGAGTGGAGCCTGAGAGGCGGGGTCTGAGGAGCGGGCGGAGGTGATGGGTGGGGCCGGGTGGAACTACTGGGATGAGCCACGCGAGGGAGGCAGGCCAGGTAAGGCCGATGTCTACTGGTCCATGAGCTCAGGGGAGCCAGGAGAGGCAGATGGGATAACTAAATTGGGAACGATTGGTTTCTACAAAGGTCTGTCACGTTCTTTGAAGAAATGCTGCTTCTGTATTTGTTATGCAATAAATACCTATTCTTTGCCAGATACACCATGAGGAACCAAGCCACATGACCCTTTATTACAGGAGGCCTGTGGGAGTGTAATCTAGAAGTGCTGGGGCACTGAGAGCTAGGAGGCACACCCTCTGAGAGAGTGTCTGGGGAAACTAATATGGGGACAGAACCTCAGGTGAGAAGCAAAGCTCCCACCGTGGGGTAGCTTGAAGTTGAGGGAGGGAGAGAATATCCTTTTGGGGGTGAAAGTGACATTCAAACCGTGTAGAGAATGGGCAAGATTCTGAGGATGACTAATCCAGGTGTTGTGTCCAAAGAAGAACATCCCTAAGGGAAGCGTGGGGATGTGCAGAAAGAGCGTGGCCACAGTAACCTGTGCAGATGCCTCTACAGATGGCATAAGTAGCCCTCACGTGACCCTGCAGACGAGAAAGACAGGCATCTTAGAGGAGAGCCTTTCCAGGATGGGGGTGGACTCTAGGGAAAGACAGTTGTAGGCTGGGTAGAGGAAGAACATGCTGTCTACAGAGAGCTACGAGAGGGGCTTTGTGGGTGTTTGTCTTGTCATATTGGAGTTGGAACCAGGCCTCAGATTTGCTAGGAAGTGCTCCACCACTGAGCTGCGTCCCACCCCAGTAGCATGTTGTTTGTTTTGAGTCCAGAGTATCTTTATGTAGCCCTGGCTGTCTTAGAACTCTCTATGTAGACCAAGCTGGTCTCAAACTCACAGAGATCCTCCTGAGTGCTGGAATCACATGCTTCTTGATTTCTAAAACCATATGGTGATGCCCTCTTGTATTCCAGAGAAGATATTAGTCAAGTTGCCATTACTGTAACAAATACCTGGGCCGACAGGTTGACTCATCAGATAAAGGTGATTGCTGGCAAGCCTAAGGACCTAAGTTTGATTCCCAGAGCCCACACAATATAAAGAGAGACTAGACCCCAAGCAAGTGTCCTCTGACCTCCACATGCAACATTACCACCTGATACACAAAATAAGCAAGGAAATAAGTAATAAAAACAGCTGAGATAATGAAGTTAAAAAGACAAAAGGATTGGCTCAGTTTGAGAGATTCCTGTCTGTGATCAGGCAGACCTGTTGCTTTTAGGCTTCTAGTGGGGTACCTGGTGGCTATGTCTCAGGGGCATGTGGCAGAGCAAAACCTCATTACTAAGAACCAAAAGGAAAGAAAAGGAGTCAGGGTACCACAGTCTTCTCCATGAGCACAGTTAAGTGACCCAAAGGCCTCCAGCTGGGCCCCACCTTCAGAGGCTCCACCACCTTCCAACAGCAGCGCCCTGGGGAGCAGGCCTTTGCTGTAGGGGTGGAGAGGCACTTAAGATACAAACTGTGGAAGGTCCCAGTGAGAGATGCAGGGCCCAGCAGGCATGCTTCCAGGAGACAGGGAGGGCCTCAGCCAGGCAGCAGCAGCAGTGGAAAGAGACAGGATCAGGAAAGATGCTAAGGAAAAGGAAGGGCTGGCGGGCAGAGTAGCAGAAAGGAGGAAGCAACGGGTGTGAACTATGTTCTGGGTCGAGGCTGGGGCCAGTTTTGGGGACCCCTTGAGCAGCACCCCTCCCCAATTACCCAGCTCTTGACTTGGCTCTTCTTTAGGCCAAGCTCACCTGTGGCACCTCCCTTCTCACAGCGCCACCCATAGGGAAGTGGGCACATATGGGGGACCCTCTAACAAACCCTAGCTGTATACAGGAAAACAGTGTTGAAGTTGAGGCTGGCCTAAAGGCCTCTCCAGGCCAAAACACACACAGGTAACACACAGGAAGTCTCAAGTCCTCTGTAGGCATGTCTCCTGTGGTTCTGGCCAAGGTCGAAGAGCATAGTCTGTAATAAAGTTTGAAGATGAAGCATGGAGTTAAGTCTTCAGCCTGTTGAGTCTTACTGCCTTTGAGAGGGACAGGTGACAAGGACAAGAAGGGGGGAGGGGGAAAGTCTGGAGATCCTCCACTCAGCATCCCACATGGGAAGCTAAGCTGCTCCTGCTGCAGGAACGTGCTTCTGACACTTGCTTCTCCCATGGCCACATCTGAAAGCAGGGAAGGGACAGGGATGGGAGTGGTTGGTGAGCCCATACTTGGGGTGACTGGATCTGGAGGGGCTGGTCCTATCTGCCACTGGCAGATCAGATAGCTTCAGGCCCCTTTTTCATCTCATCAAAGGTCTTCACAGCAGTGATGAGTTATCACCCCATCTGCCCTGTGAGAAAATGGGGGCAGGTAGCTGACACTGATTAGAAGGGAACCATGTAGGGCCACTGTTGCAGATAGTGACTGTTGAAGCTAGCCCTGTTCCCCCACCCACCTCCTCTGGGTACTTCCTCCATTGTCACTCATCTCCTGAGTTAAGGAGGGTGGGAAAGTCCTTTCCAGGAAGTAGAGGCTCATCTATGAGAGGGCTGTGGAAATCCCGCCAGCTAGCTACAGGAGTGGTACCAGCTGCAGAGGTGGCACACTCAACCTTCCTCTGATCTGCAGATTGTGCATCCACAGAGCCAAACAATTGCATTTCAGGAATATCTGAGAAAGCTTGCATGGCAGAATATGCAGTCTCTCCCATCATCAGTCCCTACACGGTGCAGCAGTGACCAGAGCATGGCTGTGGTAGGTCACATTGCAGGCCACGTAGAGATGGCTGACATCTACAGGAAGGTATGCGTAGGTTCTATGCATGTTCTACACCCTTCCCTATATGGTACCTGAGTGTCTGGGGAACTTGCTTTTCTTCTAGATTCCCAGAGCTGTCTCCTATGGGGATGGAGGCCTGAGATGACCACATCCCTATAGGCGAAGTAGAATGCTCAGGAAGATGGGCAGGAGAACAGATGTAGAGTCAGAAATCCCACAGCCCAGGAAAGATCACTGTAGGTGGAATTCAGGTTTTAAAGCAGGCGCTGACTCTCGGCCGGCTGGCGTGTGTGAGGAGTGGGGATCGTGGTTTTAGGACAGCTGGGGCTCCAGCTGGAAGAAAATATGGTTGGGTCTCACTCCTGTGTGACAACAAATTCCAGATGATTCTAAGATTTAAGTGTGAAAAATAAGGCCACAAAGAGGAAGAAAAACACGAACAATTTTATTTATAATCTTGGTGTGGAGGAGGCTTGTTTAGCAGCTCACAGCCCCAGACACCATAAAAGATAAGATCAAGAAATTCGGTTATATAATTACATGCTGTGTTGTCGTGTCGAAATAGAAGAGTGCAGGGCAAGCCAGGGGGAGAAATATTTGCATCCCATGTCACAAAGGGCTCCTTTCCCAGTGATCTCCCACAAACCAATAAAGCCAGTGACATCATGGGAAGGTGGGCCAAGGTCAGGGCACGTGCAGGGAAGGACAGTCACGTGATCTGACTCTCCGCAAAGAGCTGATTACTGCACTCAAGGGAGCAAAACACATGGAAACCACAGTGGAAAATTGTTCCGTGCAGCGTCGTCGGAGCCGCTCTGACAAAGGCGGGGGAAGAGGGAAGACGACACCCTGGCGCAGCAGAGGGGTGTGAATTGCGATGACTTGGGAAGGAAGAAACAGGGACTGTAATTATCAAAAATATGTCTGGAGAGGGGATCTTGCTGTTATCCATGCTGGCTTCATGCTCTGGGCTCAAATGATCTCCTGCCTCCACCTCCCAGGGTTGCAGGTGCACACCTGCGCCTGGCTTAGTATCAGTCATATCACTCTGACCCAGCGAACTGACTCACCAGTATTCCTCCTGCAAACCCGGTGTTCACACGCCAAATGACTGTGAGCAAGGACGTTAGTCGTTGCTGTAGCGGCAACGGTGGAAGGTATCACAATGTCAACCAATAGACAGGGAGTTGCATAAAACAGCTATGAAGGAGGAGATAGCTTTCAGATCACTTAAGTACATCACTCGCCATCCATGAAGGGAAAAGCTGTGGTTAGCACGTGCCACATTTGTGTTGAAAGAGAATTGACATAACACATACATAATAATACTCTCCTCCCTCCCTCCCTCTTTGCTCCTTCCTTCCTTCCTTCCTTCCTTCCTCCCTCCCTCCCTCCCTCCCTCCCTCCCTCCCTCCCT